GGGTTTAGGGTTTAGGGGTAGCTCCAAGGACGCACTTGCCAACATAACTATGAGGCTTTGAGGTACCAATACTGAGAGCTTGCGCACTTTGGGATCTTACGAAAGAGCAGGCTCTATCCGGTTTCCCAAAATGAGGGGTACCATTTTGGGAGTCTCCATAAAAGGACTATGGTATTTGGGGATCTATATTGAGTTTTTCCCTGCTTAGGGAGACTAGCATGTATTGCCATACTGGTTCGCGCATGTTCGCGCCATACACACGAGGAGCGCCCGGCTTGGCGGGTTTGGGGACGTCTTAGGGTCCAGCGGGTTACTGAAATGCTGGGTTGCTGCTAAGGACCTTAATCTATGCTGCCATAGTCTTGCTATGAAATAAAGCAGAGGGCCTCCTGATTATAGTAACTTCAATAACAGCAACCCAGAATCATGAAGCCAGAAGCGAAACGTAGTGTTACAACATCCCCGATACCCTATAGACCCTAAACCCTCAGTCGAAAGACTAAAATCCTGTGCCAGGACTCCAATCTACATCTAAAGAATAAGCGGAGTTGGAGTCTCTGAAGCGCTTGATGAGTTTAGGGTTTAGGGCTTATACCCATGCATGATTTGGGTCAGTCAGGGCCTACCATGACTGGACTTTCAGATTTGTCCTCACTCGAATTGTAGGAGCCAGGATGAACCCGAGGCTGAAAAGAAAAGGCTCCGGATCCTGTGAGAGCAGCCGCAAACCCTACTAAACCCTACTTCCCAGACCCCTGGAAGGATATAGAAAGTAGAACCCCCAATATGGTACCCCATAATAATATATTGGGTGATTTCAAAAAACCCGAAAGGGGGTTCTACTTTCTAGATCCGCCCAGGGGTCTGGGTTGGGAGTTTGTCTAGGTGAGAGTCCCCCATTCTCAAGGCTTTTGTGAGCGTCTGTCTAAACTTGATGGGTATCTACTGGTCGTAATGTTTGAGGTATCGCTTTTGAGGTTTCCCCATTGCTTTACAGGGTTTTGGGGCGTCGATGTTGGGGTGTCGCTTTTCAAGAGTTCCCATCGCTTTAGAGGGTTCCGGGCACGTTTCGGCTGCCATTTCTAAATCTTACATAGTCTCCTTCCTTTACGGAAGGTTTGACGGCTGCGTAGAGATATCGTATAGGATAGGGCCCAGAAGTTTCCCATATCATCACTAGCTCCAGTGTGTACGATAAAACATAGGTCTATAGGTCCGTAGGAGTTAATCTGCACGAAGAACTATCCATCCTGCAAGCCAAAACCAAGAGCAAAGGTCTTCCGGGCTCTGTTAATAACAACCCCGCGAGCCCCCTGGTACTCAGCATTCGCAACATAATGCCACAAAGCAGTAGAGGAAATATCTATGATTGGCGAGGTGGGTAGGTGGTTCGGGGAATTATCACATTGCGAGGAGGCACCACGCCATCGGGCTCCCTGGGGAGGGCTTCTTGCGTCGAGTCGTCCAGGGTGATCTTGTTGTTGGCCTGTTCAAACACGACATCGCTGCCAGCTGCAAACCATTGCACGAAATACACACTCTCTACATTCAAAGTTGAAAGGGTGCCTGATTCGGGTGCATTGCTTCACCCGGATTGCAATATGGAACGCAAAATGTGCACTCTGGTCATCGACGATGACACCGCCGCCCGTTCGGCTTGATAGAAAGTAAAACAGAACTAGCTGAAAACCTAAAGTAATACTGTAGAAGAATGGCTGTGCTTGCCTCTTTTGATGGGTCTTGGGCCCTCACTTTATTGATTTTGTAATCCAACTACTCCAGTGAGACCTGGCTCAGAAACCAGCGGAAATCGGAAAAGAGCGGGGACGGCAAGGGAGAGAAGGTCTGTAGGTGAGGTACAATGTGGGATTTCCACAAGTAAGTAGCGGGTCCCCACATGGACACCAATCTACTACCTAAACCCCAAAGGTATGTAAAATAATAGCCCTAAACCCCTAATAATAGCCATAAATTCCATTATTTTTACATACTTTTGGGGTCCAGGTATATGTTTTTGTGGAAACACCCATGTAGGCCCGACTTTACCCACCGCGAAGTTTCCCCAGCCCTCACTATCCCTACACAGCCTGAATTAAGCAGGAAACCTTGGCGGAGGATCGTATAGGGGTGGCTGGTAAGGGAATCCATGATGAAGAATATATGAAGTTCCCTAGACCCTAGACTTCCCTGATCAAACCCAAATCCATGCTTTCATATCAATTTTTTCGGGTATCCCAAACTCCCGAGGCGGAGGATGGTTCATAAAGTGAGTCATCCTGTCATGTACTAGACGCTCTGTAGACGCATGGTGCGAAAAGGACATGAAACGAGTGTCCCAGTGCAGCTTGCTCCATACCTAGAACAGACCTGAAGGAAACATCAGGATGACTTAGGGCACTTGGTGCCCGAGACGTAGCACATACTTTAACCTGAAAGCATCAGGATGCATGAGTTTCCCTTAAAGCCTAAGCATGCGAATGGCTTGTCATGCTGCAGGACTCCATACAACGTGGGCTCTGGTCAATAGGGAAACTCTACCTATGTCAAAGTTTAGAAATCACAGAATCACTGCCATAATCTTTTCAGCGGCCCAGCATTACACATCATGGACCGGCTGTCTTATATAGCCACGCCAAACTCAGGAATGCTGTACCCAACCTTTGAACCCCAAAGCAAACGCCTAACAGCCATAAATGCCAAACCCACACACCAAAACAACTAAACCTAAACCTGAATGATGTTGACTACTCATGTCCCCTGAGCACAAAACGCGGCTCCACAAACAACTAAAAGTGCCCTACTTGTGACAAAGTTGGAAGTACGTCTCACTAATGGGATTGCTAAGGGAGAGGGTTGCTAAGAAGCAACAGTTGACTCAGGGCTGTCCTCCAGATCGACGTTCGTTAGGCTTTCCATGCCGGCTGTGTAGCTGGCGATGATTCTGTCTACAAGCGGAAGCTTCATGTCCACCAAGACAATTCCGTTGTTCCTTGCAAATACACAGAATATTGTGATACAATCATATAACGATATACCCTTCAGTGAGACTTTCCTTCATTCGTCAGATGCCCTTCTATCCTGCCGTGTGGCTTGTATTTCGCAGAAAAGTACGCCTTTTTAGGTACGTGTTGATCTCGTGGTGCGGGCTTGCAGCATTGCAAATAATCCGTGCATGCCTCAAACATGACACAAGAAGACTTGGCAATCCCTTATCCTCCTGGACCGTAGGTCCTTGAAATCTGGTACGAAAATTGAGAGAATGGCATTTTCTTACAGCCTCAGGGCTGTTTGCCGTATCCAGGCTCGCATAAGATCTTGAAGCTTGGTACGAAAACCGTTTCAGCATGCTGTCGCTGAAGATGGCGGAGACCCAATCATGAATTCAGCGGGAGGGCGAAAAAGATGGCCCTTGGGGAAGGGCAGAAAGCCTTGCCATGGGCAAGCTACGGAGTGGTTCCCGTAATGACCCTTTTTTGTGGGGTTGTGTAAGGGGATGGAGCCTGATTTTGCAAAGCAAGTATGCTGCTTAGGGTATTCAGGATGCAAATATCAACTGTCTCTGCCAGCTACAACAAGGGTGCTCTGGCACGTGTTGGCTGGGAAGTTCATAAGAAACCAATGAGGTGCCAGGTATCGCTTGCAGAGTCACAACCGCCACATTGTCTGCACGGATGCTCACCTGCATGAATTGCGCAGCTTCCGGAAAAGGCGGGTTCATGGCTGCTGCTTTGGTTATCGCTGTTGTTGTTGCAGTTGTTGGCAGTTGTTGTTACACTTGTTGTTGTTGATGATGGTGCGGTTGCTGTTGTCGTTGCAGTTGTTGCTGCTGTTGGTGCTCCTGGTGCTGCAGCAGCAGCAGCAGCAGCAGTAGCAGCCTCAATCAGTCAGAGCAAACAATGCGAGCAGCAGCACCAAAGGAACAAAGGGCGTAGCCATGCTCATCTCATCATGACCATACTCATGCCCATGCCATTGAACCCTCGCCTTGCGCACGTCAGACTCAACATGCTTGTGTTCACGAGTCTTACCTATCTCACGAAGCATTGCCTTTGCTGGTGCCTATCGTGGATACGGATGAATCAAGGGTTGCCATCCTAAATTCTAGCCCTATGTACGAGTAGGGGTCTAGGTACTCGCAATAACACCATGTCAACGGCATGGCTGGAGTTGACGCTCTTGGCTGTAATCATTTTCCGACTGATCTGCGCTGCTCCCCCTCCCCACTTTGAAGGTTTCGGAACGTTCACAGTCAAAGAGCTGGAGTCGTTCGTCGTGGTCTCCCGGATAGCTGAGTTGTTGCTTCCATGTTGAAGTTGTTTTCTTGGTCGTTTAGTTTTTCAATTCATCGACATTTTGAATTTACAATCTTCAAGGTGCGACCCCTTCTTGTGATTTTTGTTGTTGTTGTTGTTGTTGCTGCTGGTGCTGCTGCTGCGATTGTTTGGGCGCAGTGCTGTCTGGGTGCGGTCCGCTCTGTTGTTGCAGTAGAAGCACGCTCTCGGAAAAAGGCACAGCTGAACATTCTTTATGTTGAATGATCCCTGGCATATATCTTGCTGCCGAAAGGAGAAACCCTGTGGCTTACAACCTCCTGAACCCTAGAAGCCCTGAACCGCAATCCTACAGCCTCTGCCCTTTCGCAATATCAGCCCGACATTGACTAGATCCCGATTAATTGAACTGCCATATCTGTAAAGCGTGAGCTCAACATTTCTCATCTCCCTAGTACTAGAATTGTGGGTGTCGGGTTCAGGCTTACAGGGTTGAGACTTGTAATTTTACGATTAGGGTTTGGGGCTTCGACTTTGGTTTGGTAGGTTTAGGCCTGACGTGACTATGAGATATGTATAATCTTTAGGTGAGGGACTTGTATTTCAAAAAGGCCTTCTTTCAGGTATTAAATACACACTGGACAAACCACATTCCTTTCACACTGAAGCCGAAACCCAGATCCCCAAAAGTCAAACCCCTGAGTACCCCAAGACCTAGCATAGGTGCTCAGGGATTGAGGGCTTTCTGCTGAAGATACTAAAGCCAGAACGACGATCGACCGTGTTTAGCACCCATACTACAAGTGGCCCCTTAGACATTGAATGTTTGCTTGCCGAGCCCTGCATACCCAAACCTTTCTCCGTAGCTCCTTTTGGGTGACATATAGAAATCCCTCAGCGGGAAACCATAACAAACAGAACAAGGAACTGCAGACGGTCGATTCCAAAGAAACTGTGGCACTATAGTAGGCCCAGGTCCAACAGGATTTCTAGTATCAACCCTGTAATCGGCATAATCGTCCCTGTCGTACTTTCCAATCTGCTCCCACTTGATTCCCTAGTATTGGATGACACCCCTAACCCTAATCCAAAAGTCCTGAGACCCTAATCCCCAAGCCCTAATTAGACCCTAGTTCGTAAACCCTTAACCTAATCTTCATTAGACGGAGCCAGTGCGAAAGCTTCAGAACGCAAGCAATTCAGAAGCTGGCTTTTCAGGGACTGAAACCCACGGTCTCCCTCCTCTCTGAGCATCCTATGGGTTTAAAATGTTTAGTCATTGAATATGCATTTTTTCAAGGATTGAGGTAATACCTTTGCTGAACCCGAGTCTAGTCCGCAACAACCCTGCCAAAACTTGGAGAGGGCTCTTGTGAGTTGGGTTTGGATCTGCACGGAAGGAAACCCTGAAACCCAAACCCTTGCCTTGCCTTTGTTTCGGAGAGCATGGCGGAATTGCTAGCTACAGTGACTACAGCGGCCCCCCTATATATATATATGGTCACCCCCCCCCCCATGATCCACACTTGCGTTTCTTCCTCTTCTCCTTGTCCTATCAATGGAGTC